CCTTTCACCTTCATGTCCCAAAGTGCTGGGATTACAGGTGTGAGCCAGCATACTAGGCCTCCTCAGTGTTTTACTGTGTGAACACTGTGTGTCAATACCCTGTCAAGGGTGTTTTCGATAGATTTTTATCAGCTCCCTAAAAGTTTTAGAGATAAAACTTGTATGTGTAGTGTTAATTGTTCGTTTTCCCCTACTCTGTTGCTTTCATTTTATTTTCTTTTTTCCTCTATGCAGTACTTCAAATTAAATGGGATCAAACTCAAATACTTTATAATTGATATGTTTCTATTTTTGTAATCTGGAAATGATATCTGTCCTTCATTGGTATATGTATATATTTAGTTTCTTCTAGTTAAACTATTTTAAGTTGACTCCTTGATATTTTGGGCATTTATTATGTTTTGGTATGAGATAGCAATCTAAGTCTTTTGCTTTATTGATATCCAGTTTTATCAACAGCCTTTATTATTATTTTAATAAATATTTTTCTCTTTACCAAAATATTACATTGTAGAAAAATTGGAAAATACATAAAAGCCCCCCCCTCCAAAATCAAGACACTCAAAGTTGGCTACCCATGTTTAACTATGGGTGTTTTAATTTTATCTTTCCAGTGTTCTTTCTAGGCATGTATATTCTTTTTTCCTTTCTCTTTTCCTTCTAATAAAGCCAGGAACGTGTTATACAAACTCAATCACACTAATTAATTGGTAATTTCTTTCCTTAGTTTAAAATTCTGCTGTTTGTTATATATTAAATTCATATTAGTTTGGATCATTTCTTGCTTTTTAAAAATCAGATTAAAAAATTTATTTCCAGTATCTTCTAATTGAACAGAATTAGGAATATAGGAAGTATAATTGCTTTCTCAATAAACACTAATATACATAAGGCATTGGGTAAATGAAAGCAGTGCCTGGCACATTGTAAGCACCTCATTTAATATTGGTTAAATAAATAACATTTTGAATCATAATCCAGAGAGATTATAACGTTCTGTATCTCTCCCCTCCCCCGTTATCTAGGCTAGAGGTAGCACAATCATAGCTCACTATAGCCTTGATCCTGGGTTCAAGCAATCTTCCTACCTCAGCTTCCAGAGTAGCTGGGATTATAGGTGGCACCACCATGTCTGGCTAATTAAAAAAATTTTTTTAGAGACAGAGCCTCACTATATTGCCTAAGCTGGTCTCAAATTCCTGACCTCAGGTGATCCTCCTGCCTCAGCCTCCAAAGTAGGTGGGATTACAGGCATGAACCACCATGCCTGGCTTCTATATCATTTTTAAATAGTATTGATTTTAAATTCTACTTAATATATTGAAAATATTTTCAGTAGTAGGGTTTGAAATAGAATATATTTTAGGTTAACCTTGTAGGCAGAAAATTATAGCAGGAAACCCTTTTTTGAACATTCACACTCTTTGAAGTTTTTCAAAAGATTGACATGAAATCATGGATATAAAAATTTTAAATGTCTAAGTGGATAAAATACTATAAACAAGTGAAAAGACAATGATAAATTGGAAAATAATATACAACACATTATTTGAAGAGCCTTTACAAACTCACAAGAGAAAGACCATGATCGTAATAGGAAATTGGGACAAAAGGCATGAACAAACATTTCTCAGAAGAAATACTAATGGCTTTTAAACATATGACAAGATATTCAATCTTATTTATAATTTTGAAAAACATATGTTTAGACAATAGAGGAAGCATTTTTTTACTTCTTAGACTTACAAAGATAAAGATTTTAAAAGTATCAAGATCATGAAAAATAAGGAAATAATGAGAAATTGACATGATGACTAAATAGAATATGGTATCTAAGATTGGATCTTAGGACAGAAAAAGACATTAGTAGAGAAATTGGTGAAGTCTAAATAAAATCCAGAGTTTGTTAATGTACCAGTGTTAATTTCTTAGTTTTGACAAATGTACCATGATTATGGTATAAGATGTTGACATTAGAAGAAGTTGAATAAAGGATATATGGGAACTCTGTACAATATTTACAGCTTTTCTGGGAATCTAAAATTATTCCAAAATTTTAAAAAATATTTATTAAGAAAAAAAAGAAAATCAAAGATACTAAAAAATAAACACCCTAATACGTTATTGGAAATGGAAGTTGGTATATCCTCTTCTGAATGACAATTTGGCAGTATCTATCAAAAAGGGTACAATTTCTTTTGACCTATTCAATATCATTTGTAATTTTTTCTCCACACATAAATAGAGGTACAAAGGTATTTATGGCAGCATTGTTTGTAGTGACAAAAGTGTGGAAACTGCTTACATGTCAATCAGTAGATGACTGATTAAATGATGATAGAGTCACATAGTGGAATTCTATGTAGCTGTTAAAGAGAATGAGATGGATTAAATGTATTGATATGGAATAATTCCCAAGGTATTATTAAGTGAAGAGAGCAATAAGTAGAACAGTAAACTACTATTTTTTTTTAATTAAAAGGGATATGTGTAGGAATACACAGACAAACACTACTATATGTGCATCTACAGTATCTATCTATCTATCTATCTAGATATATAAATTGTCTCTAAGAAGGGACAGTCTTGGCCAGGGGTTAGGAGAATGACTCACATTTTCATTGTTGACCTTTTATACTATATGTGTTTTTTTTTTTTTTAACCCTGTGCATATATTACTTTATTAACCAAAAATAATTGTACACTAAGTGAAATAAGGCCAGGAGGTAGAGCATTATTTATCTAGAAATGGATGAAGTATCTTCTTTCTCTTCCTGCCAAAATTATCTTTTCTAACCTGTGTCTGTAAGAATCTTGAAAGTGAGATTTGCTGGCTTTTTGTAAAGGTTGGTAAATGTGAAGGTGTAAGTAGAAGCTGGAAGAAATGTGTGTCTCTCTCCTTAGCCAGTGAGTTTCTAGGTAGACATAGCAGTTATCACTCTGTGTCCCAAGCAGCATATCTTTTATTGTGTAGTGTAGGAAACCAACAGAGGGGAGATGTTGGGGCCTGAAATAGAATTTTCAAATTCTTGCTCATGATTTCAAAATTCTGTCCAAAGGTATACTCTTTAAGGAGCTTTGAGTTCCTCTCCCTTTCCTCTACCAACCTGCCCCTGAACTATGCCATTCCTACTGCTGGTAGTAGCCTTATCTCTCTCTTACTGCCATTTTCTTCCTCATTCAGAAAGTACTATTGACACTCCCCTAACAATATTTTTTTTAATGAACAATTGAAAACATAGAAAAGTTGAATGAATTGTACAATGAATGCTCATATACTCATCACCTACCTAGATTCCAGTTAACATTTGGCTATATTTCCTTATGTGTTTCAAAATAAGTTACACATATCAGTACACTTTACCCCTAAACTCTTTAGCATGCATGCATGTCATTGGCTAGAGTATATTAGTTTACAGTTTTGTTTTTTTTTTTTCTTTAAGAAAAACGTATTGGGCTAGGCATAGTAGATTACATGTCTATAATCCCAGCACTTCGGGAGGACTAGGGAGTACAATCACTTGAGGCCACAAGTTTGAGACCAGCCAGGGCAACATAATGAAACCCATCTCTATAGGTGTGTGCCTGCAGTCCCAGCTACTGGTGAGGCTGAGGTGAGATGATCACTTAAGCCTGGGAGTAAGAGGTTGCAGTGAGCTATGATTGTATCATTGCACTCCAGCCTGGGTGACAGAGTGAGACCCTGTCTCAAAAAAAAAAAAAAAAAAAGAGAAGAAAAATGTATAATATATACAGTGAATGTATATTTGTGAGAAATGCTCAAATCTTAAGTGTATCATTTGATGCATGTTTGATAAATGCGTACAAGCTTGTGTAACCCAACCCACTTTAAGATTTAGATACAGAATATCACCCCAGAAGGTTTCCACATGTTCCTTCCCAGTTAATCCCTATCCCCACCCTGGTGGTAATCACTGTTCTGATTTTTTTCACCATTGATTAGTTATCTTTCTTCTCAAACTTCATGTAAATGAAATCATACAGTATGAACTATTTTGTGTAAGATTTCTTTCATTCAGCATAATGTTTCTGTGATTCATCCACATTAATGTGTGTAGTAGTACTCCTTTTCTTTTTTGCTGAGTAGTAGCCATTGTATGAACCTACCAGTGTGTTTATCCACTCTCTAGTTGATGGATACCTGGGCTGTCTGCGACTTTTAGCTATTACTACTAAAGTCCTTATGAACATTCTTGTGTGAGTCTTTTTGTGGACATATGTTTTTATTTCTCTGGGGTAATTGCTAGGTCATAGAGTAGATGTATGTTTAGATTTATAATAAACTACTAGAAGCCTTCTCTCAAAATAGCCGTACCATTTTGCTTTCCTACTAACAATGTAGGAGAGTTCCTTATTTGTCTTCAAAAAATATATATGAACATATGTAGAGAAAATTTCTTTATGTGGATACGAGCCCTTTGTCAAATGTTCATTTTGTTACTATTTTCTCCCAGATTGTGGCTTGTGTATTCATTTTGGTGAGCAGACGTTTTTAATTTGATAAAGTCTAATTTATTGGATTTTTTCTTTTATGTTATTGCTTTCTGTGTCCTAAGAAACCTTTGCCCATCCCCTTAGATGTTTTTATATATTTTCTTCTAACAGCTTTATAGTTTTAGGTTTTATGTTTAGGTTTATGATGTATTTTGAATTACTTTTCCTGTATGGTGTGAGGTAGGGGTCAGGGCTAATTTTTTTCCATATTGATATCCAGTGGTTCCAACACTGTTTGTTATTTGTTCTTCATTAGATTGTTTTAGCATCATGATAGATGCTTTTAATAGCTTAAAGGATAGAGTTTTCTCCTTGCCTTTCTTGGTTATTCAGGTATGGAGAGAGGAGAGTTACTACTTCCTGGTCTCCTAATCCCTTTAGTTATATTCACTTATATTCTGGATGCTACCGAGTCCTGACTTCAGGACTTTCTCAGGTTGGCAGTGAATTATAGTGACTGGATTATCTGTTCTGTCTGGACATAGGATGACCAGTGTACCTGTGAAGGATCGGGTGAAGGTGTCTCAGAACTGGAGGCTGGGGCGCTGTCGAGAGGGGATTCTGCTGAAGTGGAGATGCAGGCAAGTAACCTCTTGACTCTTTTAAAGCTACCTGGGAAGGAAAAGCATAATAGAAAGTGGCTATAATAATATAATAGCATGCTGGCTAGAATGTAAGTGGGGCTATCTTGAGTGGGGCATCACTGGTGGTCTTTTAAACACCACAAAGGAGGCATCAGAGGGACAATGCTTTTCACATTTAAAAAAAGAAATACAAGAAATGTACCTTGTTTTTAACAAATTCCATATTTTTATGATCATAAAAAAATGTTTATTCTAGACATTTGAGAAAATAGAAAATGCTAAAGAAGAAAATAAAACTTGCCTATAATTTTACCACTCACAGGTAACCTGTGTTAACTGACCTTGTCAAAAGAAATAAATGAAATCTGTATTTTAACTTACCTTATTTGACAATTATTTTTCTATTATTATTTTTTGAGACAGAGTCTTGCTCTGTCTTCTGGGCTAGAGTGCAGTGGCATCATCATAGTTCACTGCAACTTCAAACTCCTGGGCTCACCCATCCTCCTGCCTCAGCCTCCCAAGTAGCTGGGACTATAGGCACATGCCACCATGCCTGGCTGATTTTTCTGTTTTTTGTAGAGATGGGGTCTTGCTCTTACTCAGGCTTGTTTTGAACTCCTAGCCTCAACTCCTGCCTTGGCCTCCCAGAGTGCTAGGATTACTGGCATGAGCCACTGCGCCCAGAAGATTATTTTTTTTAATCTTCCACTCTGTGGAGTTACTTTGTCACTCTTGGCTTCCTTCAGTCCTCTCCCTTACTTTATTAAAAGGCAAGGTAGGATATGGATATATATGTTACAGGAGGTAGAGCTTAGAAAAAGTACCAAGAAATATAGATAATGGTTTGGCACTGCTAATGCCACAAATGTTATACTTGAACAATTCTAAATTATTTTATAGTTGTTATTTGACTTCCTACCAAAAAAGTGCTCCTTATTGATTGGTTGCAATGGATTTAGAACATCATGATTCACCATTACAGGTTGACCTGTACCTGTGCTGGTCTTATGGCAGACTGGCACATAAGGCAGCCTTATGTGATGAACTTTTCTCTCTTACTAGTGTCCAGTTTTCACTGGTTTCACTGACATCAGTTTGTGTGAATTATGTGATGGTGGTAATGGTAAAGAAACTACAGGAGAGAAAGACAGATTTTTTTTTTTTTTGAGACAGGGTCTTGCTTTGTTGCCCAGGCTAGAGTGCCATGGCATCAGCCTAGCTCACAGCAACCTCAAACTCCTGGGCTCAAGCAATCCTTCTGCCTCAGCCTCCCGAGTAGCTGGAACTACAGGCATGTGCCACCATCCCCGGCTAATTTTTTCTATATATATTAGTTGGCCAATTAATTTCTTTCTATTTATAGTAGAGATGGGGGTCTCGCTCTTGCTCAGGCTGGTTTTGAACTCCTGACCTCGAGCCTCCACCCGCCTCAGCCTCCCAGAGTGCTAGGATTATAGGTGTGAGCTACCGCGCCTGGCCAGAAAGACAGATTTTTATGATGAAGAACTTTACCCTCTGCTTCTCACTTTTGCCTTTTAATACCAAAGAGTAGAGTTTATTTCTCTATCAAGGTTTTGTCCCTGGTGTTGTCTCTTTGGGCTAGTTTCAAGCAGTTTGGTGAATAAACACCCAGGACCATTAATGAGGCTGCCCTGGGATTCTCCACTGTTCACCTGGCATGAACCTGGTTTCTTGTCTTAGGCAAATGGCTGTTTACCAGATGGCTCAAAACACAAGAATTCCAACACCTTCTGTTTGCTGCCTGCTTGAGTGTGCCACATACCCTTGCAAGGGGATGTTGCAGAGAAATGTGCATAATGAATGAAATGCAGGCATCTATATACACTCTACACATGTTCCATATAATATATGCACACACTTGTAAAATCCTCATGAGCAGAAATTCAGTTACTACAAAGTCTAAGCTGCATTTAATGGCCCGTCAAGTCAATTTGCAGAACAACTTTCCACATTCCCATGCCGCTTGTATTAAGGAGTCTGGGGAAGAAACACAGCCTAGTTTGCTCAGACTGGCTTGGCAGTGGGAGATAGTGTCTCTGTACATCAGGATGAATCAGCCCTCCCTATGCGTTTCTTTGGATCTGGTAGCTCCAGGAACCCTACGTAAAGTAGAACAAATAGACTACCCCTTTTCACCTTGGAAAAGGGGCTTAGTCCTCACCAGAGAGCCTAGTGTCTGGTAGAGTCTTCTTCCTTAAGGCTCGCTCCCTGCCATGGGACTGACCTGTGGCTTCTAACCTTTCTTCCTCCTGCCAGATTATAGAGGAATCTTTAACTATTTGTGGATTTCTCTTATCAGTTGCCTGTGAGAACTGATTTTCTCTGTAGCCCCTGAACTGTAGCACACTGCTCTAGAGTTGTGTTTTTCCATTGTCACACTTACCCTTTAATACAGAAATGTAGATATCCCTGTGAGGATCTAGGTATCTAATCAGTACATTAGCATCCTTTCCTAAATGGCTTTATTCCTTTCACTTATAAATGGCCCCATTGCTCTAACAGGACACGGGAATGGGGCTTCTCAGGGCTCACTCTTCTCTTTTTCATCACACCCTAACTGATCTATTGGGAAAGAGATATGTATGGGAATCTTAGAACCTTGAAACTTATCACTTACACTTCAAATCAGTGAAGATGCAGAATGAAAAAAAGTTATTTCACCTGGCTGGAAGATTTCTTTTTGATCCTTTCCACCTTCAACCATTGGATTTTATAAGCACTTTCTACCCACAATAATTCCAGATAGGTAGGAATTCAGATATTAAGCATCCTCTAATGAAAAGTGATATTTAATTGGTCTTTTAATTCTGACTCTATTTTAGAAAGTACAAAGAAGATTAGATCACCACCAAGCGCAATCACTCTAGTTTTCTGAGGGTAGCTGAGAGTTAGGTAATTTGGAAGGAGGGAACCAAAGTATATAGACTTTAGGCTTGCAGGTTGTCCTTGCAAAGTTGGGGATTAGTCAGCTTCCTCAAAGATTGGAGTTCAACATACAACATGCTATATGTTGATGATCCTTAAATTTTCTTTTCTATCTCTGCAGTCAGATGCCATGGATGCAGCTAGAGGATGATTCTCTGTACATATCCCAGGCTAATTTCATCCTGGCCTACCAGTTTCGCCCAGATGGTGCCAGCTTGAACCGTCGGCCTCTAGGAGTCTTCGCTGGTCATGATGAGGACGTCTGCCACTTTGTGCTGGCCAATTCACATATTATCAGTGCAGGAGGGTAAATGCTGCAAGTTCCTCCTTCCACTTTCTTTTGTCCTGTTCTTCAGGGACCTTCTGCCTGCCTCTGACTTTTCTGTTTCAACTCCAAAGGGATGAGGAGGGAGACCAGAAGAAGGGGTAGTGGATTTTTCCCATTTAAATCCGAGAGATTTTACCAAAAGCAGTTAAACAGGGTTACTTGGAGAAGGAAACAGGAAGAGCCGTTATTGAAAAGTGAAGCTCGTTTTGATACTCTCCAGGAGGAAATTTATTTTGTCTTCAGCTCTGTTCAGCCCAAGTGTGCTGAAAAAGTGAAAGTATCTAGAAGCTCAGCACCTTATTGGGCTGAATTACCTAATGCTTAGCAAATTTGGATGCCATTGGACACGTGGGCTGTTTCTGTAGACTGGTTCTCATCCTACAGAGAGAATAATTGGCTTTTGGGGGTGGGCTTCTTATTTCTCTTCTAGAGATGGGAAGATTGGCGTTCATAAGATTCACAGCACCTTCACTGTCAAGTACTCGGCTCATGAACAGGAGGTGAACTGTGTGGATTGCAAAGGGGGCATCATTGTGAGTGGCTCCAGGGACAGGACTGCCAAGGTGAGGTGGTCTCCCCCTTACATACTGTTATGCCCTCCTGTCTATAGGGAGTGGGGTGGGAGAGGGTGGATAGGGCCTTGAGTCCCAGGATTGGCTGAGAGCATTGGCTGGGGCATGGGGTAAAAACGACACAATAAAGGACTCACTTATGTGATTCTGGCATGCAGCTTGCCATGCCAGGCTGTGTCCCTGCCAGCTGGACTGGGAAGGGAGTGGACAGTGTCTGGGAAGTTTGCCACTCACTTGAAATGTGGCATGAACTCAAAAACATAGGGCCTGGCCAGCTTTTCCTCCCTGAGCTAAGTTTCCTCAAGTTTGTGGGTTGAGTTCTAACCCCAATATTTTTTTTTTTAATTTCCCTCCTTTTGCTTACTCTCTGTTTAGGGAGGTTAATTTTTCACCACCTTGTTTATAAGCAATCAAGCTGATAATTGAAATGTGTTTTTACTGCTTCTCTGGAAAGTGATGTGGTCAGTAAGCAGTAGAGATGATGATGAGAGGGGGTGTTATTTGTTGCGTCATTGCCAAATTGCCTAGTCCACAGACATCTGCCAAGATATGAAAGAATGAGGCTGATAAATAGCATGACCCTTGCTTCATGGACTCAGCTTTCATCCATGTCTGGGTCAAATATGCTCCCATCTATGAGACAGAAAAGAAAATCATTCTCCAGGCCTGTGTCCAAAAGCCTAGCCAGGGCCTAGATAGGCTTGGTCCTTTGGGACTGCTGTGGGAACTTTGCTGACAATTCAGCTGATAGTACAGGAAGCCCAGTAGTGTCTTGCTTGTATATTTCCCAGCATCTGCAGGCTCCATAGTGCTAACAGGAGTAAAATGCTTGTTGGTGTCAGCAAATGGGCCTCTAGGATACATCGGGAATAGACTCAGGAGAGGGAAATTACAATCTTTACTCAGTAACTTTTCTGACTCCATATGCCCTCTGGTGATTTCTCCTTCAAGTAGAAATGTTGCTAATTTATGTAAAAAGAAGGGCTAAATATGCTTCTTTCTATTTATGGAAGTTTCTCCTCCCTTTGCTGTTTTCTGCCTTACACTTTGTATTTGTCAAGAGAGAATGCACACCACAGGAAGCCTGAGAAAAATCCAGCAAATCTTTTGAACCAACATGGAAACTGGATTTCCCATTACTTGCTTCCCATTCCCTTATCCCATACATACTTTAGGTTTCTGTTTAGTCACTGTCTTTGTACCATTCTTTGCAAAGATCCTGGCCTTAACTTGCTATACTGCTCAAAAGTCAATTTGCATAGAAACATTTTGTGGCATTTGTGACCTAGATATTCCCATATTATTCTGGCATTTTCCTTTTGTGGCTTCAGGCTTCCCCTGTTTCCTCCTTTTTAGTGACATCTCTTTCTTCTATTCTGAGGTCTGACATCCAAAGCAGTATAAAACGAAGCTTTACCACCACAGGTAGCAATCTGAGGGTATGGACTGCTTACAGTTGAAGTAACTGCTTACAGTTACAGTTGAAGAATAGTGGCAGTTTTATTTGAGGTATTGAGTTGGTTTTATGTTTAAGTACTGACAGCCCTATTTAGTGGCTTAGATTTTCTAAAGATTTAAAATAGATACTTCCTTCTTCTACAATTGTCACTATAGTCTACCCTCTTCCTTCTGAGGATTTCTTTTAGGTCTGTGACAGAATTCTCTTCTCTGGTTCTTCTTCAACTCCTGAAAGCTAGTCTGCCATTTCTGGGCTCCCCAGTGATCTCTCCACTACTTATCTTTTCTGGCCTTTTGGATGCTGCTTGGGTTTCCCTCCTTTCTGTTGTTGTCTTTGCATCCAACCACCTTCATTATCTTGGCCCGTTTCCACATTATTGTACTCACAGTTTGTCTTTTGTAACTGAGACATCATTTCTTTTCAGTGGCATCTGCGATTCTACAGCTGCTTCTACAGGCTTCACTACACCTGAACCTACTTAAGAACTTACAGTGACGTTTGCCTGTAACTAACTATAGCCTGTTCTTTGGGAGTTCCCCAAATTTGTACTATATTTTAGGAAAGAGATTTGTTTTATGGGTGAGAGGAACCAAAACATTCTCTCTGCAAGATTTCTGAGCCAGAGACTGCCCAAAGAGCCCTCTTCCTTCTCATAATCTTCAACTCTATTTTCAGGTTTACTGTTACTTAGCTTGGTTTGCCTCTCTGGGCTTTAGTGGGGCCAGCCCCATCTCCTGAGATGTGAACAGATGGTAGCTTATGTTATTTGTGAGCCTGGGCTGGTACTGACCATTCCTTCATTTCCTCCTTTATTTCTCTATTCTTCCTTAGTGCCTACTGTAGGCCAGGCTTGGTATACAAGGTACCTGGGCTTTTCAAAGGTAAGAAAAATACAGCCTCTATTTTTAAGGGGAGATGAGACGTGTATACATCTGGCTATGAAGCTGATTGGAAGTGGCTAGGACTGTGAAGTATAAAGTTCTAGGGAAAGGTCCAAAAAGTTCAAAGAGTGGAGAGATCACATCTGGCTTGGAAGAGAAGACTTCATGAAGCAAGAAGAAGGATTTGAGCTGGTTGTTTTCTTTTTTCTTTTAGTCATTTTTCGAAGCATAGGTTGGTTTGCTTGTTTGTTTTGTAACAATATGGAATATATCTAGGCACTGTCCTAAGCACTTTATATTTATTCATTTTCTCTTTTAGGGTAAGTTTTTCCCACATAATTATCTTATAATGTGTTTTGGGTATCTAGTATACCCTACTGTACCTACTTTATTTATAAGATTTGCCTTATTATTAATACAAATTACTCATGTCATCTTTAATGGTTTCATAATGGACTTACCACAGTTAACTTACTATTTTTTCTATTGGTGGATGTTTGTATCCATTTTTTTCCTGTAGTGATAAGAACCACTGTTATCGATTGTCTAATACATGCTAAGTACTGTGCTGCTGTGCTAGGTTATACTTATTTTCACTTTTCTACACTACAAGCCTGAGACATAGGCATTATTTCCAATCTGACACATGAGAAGATTGAGGCTAAGAAGTTATGAAATATCCCTAAAATCAAAGATAATAAGTAACAACTATGATGCAAACCCAAGTTGGTCAGATTCTAAAGCCTATGGGGGGCTGGGTGCAGTGGCCCACACCTGTAATCCTAGCACTCTAGGAGTGCTCTGAGAGGCTGAGGTGGGCCGAGGTGGGTGAATTGTTCGAGGTCAGGAGTTCAAAACCAGCCTGAGCAAGAGCAAGACCCCGTCTGTACTATAAATAGAAAGAAATTAATTGGCCAACTAATATATATAGAAAAAATTAGCCAGGCATGGTGGCGCATGCCTGTAGTCCCAGCTACTCGGGAGGCTGAGGCAGCAGGATTGCTTGAGCCCAGGAGTTTGAGGTTGCTGTGAGCTAGGCTGACGCCATGGCACTCACTCTAGCCTGGGCAACAAAGTGAGACTCTGTCTCAAAAATAAATAAATAAATAAATAAAGCCTATGGGTATTTTTTCTATTAATATGACCACAGGCTGCAGTTTTTAAAAAAACTTGTTACTATTTGGATTTTTCTTTGTTTTAGGATTATTTTCTTAGATTTTTAGAAATAGAATTACTGAGTCAGAGGCTTGGTCAGTTTAAGGATCTTGATACATATCACCAATCTGCTTTTTAAAAGGCCTGTGTGAATGTCCACCCTCACTGAGTCTTTTCCCAGAATGGATCTGTTTTGAAATTGGCCATGGAAAGCAAAGATATGATCAGCATTTTGTTGTCAACTCAACTCCTGTCCCTCAGGTGCCAGGATACTCATGTTTCTGGAGGATGGTGTGCTGCTGGGGCAGGCTGGAAGCATGAACTTTCCTAAGATCATGCTCAGAATTGCAACCTGAGAATTGCAACCATGCTTCCTGAGCCACTCCTGGAGACCAGGAACCTTGTTCTGTGCTTTGCAGAATTCAGGAATCCACCAGCCCTTTCCTCATAGAGGCCACTAGTGAATTCAGGCCTAGGCTGTTCCCACAGATTTTATACTCAGAGTCCTTAGTTTCTCCCCATTTCCCAACAAGAACCTGCCTCCCCAGGAGTTTGTGTCAGGGAAAAGGCAATGTTTTTTTCTGGGGCTGTCTAAAAGAGGACATTAAAAGTGCATCTAGTTACTACCAAAGGAGGCTAACTATAGAGTCCAAAAAGTAAGCCAAAATCATGACATTCCAAGGAAAGTTGTGGTATTTACCTTTGTTTTATGCCTACCCTCATTCAGGATCTTCTTGTCAAATTTATTTTCTTTTCCCTGTGTTGGAAAAAGTTATACAATCATCCCATCCCCACCCCCATCATACACATACAAACTCTAAGAAACACTTTCTCCTTTTATAGGAAAGAGATAATCATGTGACCCTAAGAAGGTAGGACCACCCCCACTCCATCACCTACTACTTAAACTCAAGGAATGTTTCTTTTACAGTTCTTCCATCTAAGGTCCTGCCTGAGTTTTGCACATTCCCCTTATAGCACTGCAGGGACCTTAAGAGGTCATTGGTCCATCTGGCTGCCTCAGGATCCCTCTGTGGCCGCTGTCTGGGGACAGCCCTGAATGTTTGAGGTTTTCTTTCTGTTTGGTTAGAGACTTATGTAGCTGTGTGTGTCATCTGGGTTAGGGTGAGGTGAGGGGGGAGCCCTGGGCTTAATGGGAGACGTCTAAATGCACTGACTGCTGAGAGGGCTCTGAGTGTTGATTAGAGTTAAGCCCAGAGTGGCTGCTAATGTACATTCCTGACTGATAGGGACCAGATAATGTGCTCCAAGCAATATTTTTAACCTGTAGGAGATATGGTAGCTTAAAAGAGTTAAGCTTTTCTGCTACTTTTGGTTACACTAGGTGCTAAATTCCCTGCTGAAGTGAATAGCATTGGATCCTGGGCATTATCAACAAACAAATAACAACACACCACCTTCCTTCTTTGAAGTCTCTCTTCTTCCATTCTTGCCTTTGCTTGCATCTTTCTTTTTACTTCTCTTTCTAATTCTATCACTACCCCTTTATACTGCACCTTGATCTTCCTCCCTTTCCCTCCTTCCCCAGAGTAAAATCTTGGTGAGAGATAGGAGAAAGGAAATCCACAAACATGGGAAAGTTGCTGAGAGAGGCAAGCCCCATCTGCCCACTTCTTCTCAGTTAAGTCCCAGCTGAGCTATGTGGAACATCTGATTCCCTAGTATAAAATTGGCTGGTAAGTAAGGGCACTTGGGTGGAAGTAGAAGAGGGTAGTTAGAACAGGGAGCTAGGGTCTGTCTGCATGGTAGGCGAGCAAGAGCTGGAGAGGCTCCTTTGCAGATGCCCTGAACTCTGTGTGTGCCAGACAGAAAGGATTCTCCATTCCCTTGTTCCCCCTTGTCCCCCCAGGATAGTTACCCCTTCTGGTGCACTGCTCCTCCCCACTAATTCCAGGCAATGCCAACAAGAGCATCTCTCCTATTTCCAGGTATGGCCTTTGGCCTCAGGCCGGCTGGGGCAGTGCTTACATACCATCCAGACTGAAGATCGAGTCTGGTCCATTGCTATCAGCCCATTACTCAGGTAAGGGAGACATTTTTGGATATGGTTTTGTCCTGTATAATAATGCTTTTGTTTTACTAGATTAGGTGAGCTAGAAAATATTCTACTTATATATTCTTTCTTTCTTTCTTTTTTTTGAGACATAGTCTTGCTTTGTTGCCCCAGGTAGAGTGCAGTGGCATCATTGTAGCTCACTGCAACCTCAAACTCCTGGGCTTGAGCGATCCCGCCTCAGCCTCCTGAGTAGCTGGGACTACAGGTGTGTGCCACTGTGCCGGCTAATTTTTTCTATATTTGGTAGAGACGGGATCTTGCTCTTACTTAGGCTGGTCTCAAACTTCTGACTTCAAGCGATCCTCCCACCTTGGCCTGCTAGGATTATAGGCGTGAGCCACCACACCTGGCCCTTTCTACTTGTATATTCTAGGTTGCTTTGAGCTGCTTTCCTGGTGAATTTAAAATCCTCCACAGAGATTTGAGGTCTTTAGGTCACTTCATATATGCGTGAGGTTGAGAGAACTGTCTAAGGGCTAATTTTCAAGTATTTAACCCCAGAAATGTTGAGGAAAGTATACTATATTAGAATGTAACTAAGAGTATGGTTGTTAACAGAGGTGTCCCTTCTGGACCAAATGCTCTCTGGGGTTGCTCCCAAAGCAGAGGCCACTCAGCATCCCTGGTAGGTGACAACACCAGCCAGCCTCCTCTTACAACTCACATCTCTGCTTTATTCCTCTTGGAAAATGTCCTCTGGAGTATCCCTTACATACTTGAGTCATCAGGAGAGGTTTGGGGCCTATATCCAACTGGGCCCTTGAACAAAGAAATATATGTGGAATAGAGACATTGACAATTATAGCAGAAGTGCAAAATTTTTGATAATGGCTTTACCCTACCCTTTCGCCTGACTTGTATTTCTCTATCTTTACCTATGAACATATGAGCTTTAAATCCCTACTTCTGCTTTTTAAATTCTCTGGAACCAAGGCAAAGTCTCTTTCCATCCCAGCAGGGTACATGAGACTCTCTCTCCTATATCTATTGTGCCACAATATTTGCCTAGGGTCTTCCCCCACTTCTTTCACCCCTCACTCCCCACCCAAATGGAAATGGGAATGCTGTGGGGCTGCTGCCCTCCAATATTGGGTTTAAGTTAGTCACTTGTTTTATGAAAGAGTTGGTCCCCCCTCTTTGCTCAGCCCCTTCAGCCTTTCTCCTTACCCCATGAAGCCTGCACCCCTCCTCCTGCTCCCTTCCACAACTCCCTTTCAGATTTTTTTCTTCCTAAGAATTAGAGCCGATTAGCCACGTCATTAATTCTTCAATTTGACGGCTGATATAGCAGGACCTGAAACACATTGCTGACCCTGGAGAATGGAGACCCGTTCCTTAGCATATTGACGATGGGAGAAGTTAATTAAAATTCCACAGAGCAGAGGTGTCGGCTAACCTATAAACCTGTCGCTGTTCAGAACAAATCATTCTAGCAATCCTAGGAAACAGGGAAGGAAAGACCAGCAGGGAGTGGAGAGGCTAAGTGTGTGGGAGCAGAGAGTGGAAAATGGAGCCATCGAGCTTTGTCCCCTCCTCAGTTTCTTCCTTCTGCTACCCTCCTTAAAGCCAATTAGCTGGGCTTGGGGGTCTGTGGGCTGGATATGTATAAGGATTGAAGGAAAGTGAGATGGTCTGTGGGAGGTGACAGGTGTGCTGGTGACTTTGTCTTAGTGTTACTTGTGGATTTCTGCTGGCTTCAGGAGACTGGAGTGGGTTAGTGCCAGAGGGAAGCTCTTCAGGGCTGGAGATGGTCCCTGTGCTTCCTGCATATGGATTGAGGCCAAAGAACACAGACAGAACAGACTCTCCCCTGCACCCCACCCCTGTTTTTCTCTACTCCAGCCAGTGCCTCTGGAATGTTTTAAGCTACCGCTCAACAGAATAGAACATAGCAACTCTTGAAGATGGCATCAAAAAAAGAGATTGAGGGCGGGGGCAGGGGCTGCCTTCATCATTAAAAAGCATGTGAGATCACAATAAATTGAATTTTGTTTTTTTGGCCACAATTTGGAGAATGGCTTTGGGGAAGGACCTAGCTTTCTACCATTACTATTACTACTGCTTATATGACTGTCACTACTACTAGCAGCTAACATTTATTAGTCATTTGCTTTGTGCCAGACCCTCTGGTAAGTCCTTGACCTGTTTCATCTTTGGTGAAGACCTGGGTCTTGTATTTTCTTCACATTCTTCTTCAGAGTCTTCCTGTTCTCTTGGTATATTTTCTAGGCCTGGGATGATTCTTTCACTCATAGTTGGCTGGCTGTTCGCTCCTGACCCACAGTTATTTGAGATGGCTTTCCCCCCCAACTCTTAGACTCTTTTTAAGAATAGTTTGCATTTGAGATTTTTGTCTTTACACTAGATGACCAGGATATATGCTGGTATTATCTCTGCCTCTTTTTCTCTTACCCAAAGAATATCCTAGGGTAGGATCTTTTTACCTTATTAATTAGATCCATTTCTTTTCACTATGACCATGAATTTGAACCTTTCAATAAACTCATCCATTTTCTCAATCTTGGGAGACACTGCCTCCCAGCCTTGGGGTCTTTTTTTTAGAGCAGTCTGGGAGATGAGTTCTGCTATGCCACCAACTAGCAGAGTGGCCTCAAATAAGTCATTTCCCTCTCCTAGCTTCAGTTTCCTCATCTTTTAAATATGAATCCTATTTCCTTTATAGACCTTACTAGATTATTGTGAAGATAACCTAAAATAATTTTTATGAAAATACTCTGAAAAGCTAAAAGGGCTATAGTATTATGTCAGCCAGAATCCTTTCTTATCTGGTGTAAACATTTGCTTACTGGCTTCAATTACTTTCAAGTTTCTACCCTTTGCCTGAGCACTTTTTGGCCCCCAGGGAGTTATGCTGCTCTTTTATAGTCTTCTTGATATGGAGCCTCAGTAGGAATCTCTCTTCCTTCTTCTTTTCCCCCTATAGTGTCCCTGAGCTTGATGACTGCCTTCTGTTCCCCTCCCTGACACCATTCCTGTTTAGTGTATCACTGATGTGATGTGACCCTGGACCCCTCCTGAAGAACATGAGGGGATGAGGGCAGCAGCTGTCCTCTAGGGCAAGTGCTCCTGGTTTATCTGACAATTTGTCAGCCCATTGTTATTCCTTAGATAGCTAGAAGGAACCTGGATGGTTAGGAGACCTAGCACAGCTCTTTTCTCGATTAATCTCTCTTCTATGTAAAATAATTTGTCAGACCTGTTCATCTTATTTCTCTTTGATGCCAGGGCTTTTCTGCCTTCCTGTGTATATACTCAAGCACTTGTAGTATGAAACCTGAAACCTCAAACCTTAGACTTAATTTCAGTAGCTCATGACTGGGAGAAAGTAGGTATTCTGTCCTGTGTCCAAATGTTCCCTTCCCCTCCTTCCATGACCTCAAATTTTTTATTTATAAACAGTTGTGGAAGATGATATTTAATACTAGTTATGTGCTTAGAGCCACATTTATATACTCAAAAAATACAGAAGGAAAACCAATAGACTCCAAAGGAAGGTGGCAGGCAAGGACTTTTTCCTCTGCCTCCTGTTTAACCTCCCACCCATCTTCTTGTCCCGACACCAATAATCCTGTTTTTAAGGTTCATGACTTACAATTGAAGCCCCCTTCCTGTGGAGGAGGTCCCACCTGGAGCTGTTGGATAAGTGAAAGGACAGATTGAGATGTCTCAGGAGTGAGATGCTGGAGGTGTGCCTGGAGAGAGAGGAGTGTATGTCCCCTACCCCAGGACTGTAATTGTATGGCAGGAATATCTTCAGCCCACTAGTCTCAGAGATACAACCTCTTGATGTTGCATGGAATTCTGAGCACTTTCCCATGAGTAACATAGAAAATCAGATTTTTAGAAGTGTATAATATGTTTTATTGTCATTTAAAAATCATTTGCACCTGAATAAAGTTAGTAAATACTCAAGAGTGAGGAAATGAAGACTGTTAACCAGGCATAGTGGCTCATGCCTATATTCCTAGCACTTTGGGAGGCCAAGGTGGGAGGATCGCTTGAGGCCAGGAGTTTGAGACCAGCCTGAGCAACATAGTGAGAACCTGAATTTACAAAAAATAGAAAAATTAGCCAGGTGTGGTGGTGCTTACCTGTAGTTCAGTTACTCAGGTGGCTGAGGCAGGAGGGTTGCTTGAGGGTTGTTTGAGATTATAATGAGCTATCATGACACCACTGCACTCCAGCCTGGATGACAGAGTGAGACCCTGTCTCAAAAAAAAAAAACAAAAAACAAAGAAATGCAGAACTGTTAAAGACTTAACTTTCCATCTCTTCCATTCTCATTTCCTTTACACCTTACTCCTTGGGTATTTACTGAACACTTGCAGTGTAGCAACTTCCCCAGTGATCTTATTCAGTGGTGGGGATAAGACAGATATATAACTGTAATGATTGCCAGACTATAGTAGGGACCTTAACCTAGGCTGTCTCTGGTTGGAGGGAAAGAGGGAATTGTCATTCTTTTCTGGGTAAAGGTATAAATTGAGGCCTTTGGGAAGGGAAGATCAATGCAAAGCCATATGTGGGATGTGGCAGAAGAGGCAGTAGTTTGTGCCCAGGTCTACCCCCGCCTATTACCATATCCTATGTGCTGAGGGAGGGCCATAAGGCAGGCCTCTGGGTCATTGTTGTGCCTTACTCATCAATATCTTGGATGGTAGCTGTGGCTCTTGAAAGGCTCTGTGGGTACCCGGTAACATTCTCTCTTCCTGGAGGCCAGAGTTGAGAGAGAGAGGAGTGGATGAAGGCAGCATGTGATTGAGGCCAGAGTTCACTCAGGTAGCTGTGAATACTTGCACTATTCCAGGAGTGCAAACGTGCATAGGTCTTCAGTTTCAGGCCCCCTCCAAGCGAGCCATGGGACTTGTGGTGAAATGAATCTGTAGACCTATCTACCCTGTTTGCCTGGGAGGGGAAGGGAAAGGAGCCCATAGTTGCTCCTTCTT